TTAGATATTTTTATTGTGTGTGGGCTAAGTCCCTGTATGTGCTCTGTGTGCCATGTAATGCAGTGCTCGGGGAGGCCAGGACAGGGTGTCAGATCCCCTGGACCTGGAGTTACAGAATTGTGAGCTACCGTGTGGGTGCTGGGAACTGAACCCCGGCCCTCTGCAAGAGCGGCCAGGCCCTCAACTGCTGAACCGTCTCTTCAGCCCTGACTTCTGTGTATTTGGAGCTCAGGTTTGTTCGTGGGGAGTCAGTCTAATTCTCCTCTTCTGCCCCTTGCAGGATGGCTTTTGCGACTTCTTCAAGAGCCCCTTTCCACTCTGTTTTTGGAGACTGGTGATCAAGACTCTTCTGTACTGCCTCATTGCAACAGCCACCCTGTATGTCTGGAAACAATTTAGATTTTAAAATTGTAGAACGATTTTACCTGCCTACCTGTGATCCTCTAAGGGACAATTTTAGATGGCTGGATAAGAACTGAGGAAATCCTCCTGCCTAGAAACATTTTTAACCTGCATGCTACGTGGAGTCCCGGGGTTGTGATGGAGCCAGTATTTGGAGAGGGCCTGAGTGGCTCTTCACTAAGTGGGGAATGGTCTTACTTCAAAGAACTCCAGAAGGAACTACATCCACTCACTAAAGTGCGGCTGTCTGCGTTTGGCTATAAGCACGCCAGAGCCTCTCCCATCTGTTCTGGGGTTCCTGAGCTGCCTCTGTTCAATAACCAGGGTTCCAGGGCAGAGACTCCCAAAGCGCCAAAACCCCAGAGCGATGAGGAATGCCAATAGGAAACCTTAAGGACTCCTCGGAAACCTAAATCTTTCTGTGCCCAATTCCCGGGACTTCTGAATTTATAGTGTAAAGTAACCATGTTTTTAAAGTAACTTCAAATTTTTAATAAATGTATGCATTAAAAAAAAAACCCTGGGTTTTTCTCTAGTTCAGCAAAACTCTTTTCTTGAGGGTAACTAATTGGTGACACTTTCCTTTTGTCTCGTTTGATTAAAAACTAGGGTTTAGTTTATATAATGTATATTCACATTATGCTTGTATGTATATCCATGTACCACATATGTGTCTGGTGCCTATGAGGCCAGAAGAAGGTGTCAGGTCCCTGGAACAGGAGTTACAGTTGTAAGCACCATGTGGGTGCTGGGAATCGAACATGGGTCCTCTGGAGGAGCAGCCAGAGCTCGCTCTCCAGCCTTAACAATGCTTTGTTTGAAACATTTAATCTACATGTAAGTTCTGAAATCACTCCTTTTTTCCCCCTTCCCCTCTCCAGTCTACTCAAAACATGCAGGGTGGTAGGGAATGTGCCCCTCCAAGCCTCCCTGGCTATTGTTAACTCGCATTTCATAAAACTGAGTCTGCTTACGCTGAAGGTGTGTGTATGTGAGAGAGAGAGAGAGAGAGAGAGAGAGAGAGAGAGAGAGAGAGAGAGAGAGAGAGAGGACGAGGTTTCTGGCTGGAGATGTAGGTCTCGGGGATCAGATTTGGGTCGTTAGGCTTGGTGGTCAATACCTTTACCTACCAAGCCATCTCATCAGCTAAACCACATTTATGCTTTGTTTAGTTATAGTGTGTGCACGTGTGTGCACGCATGCATGTGGGTGTGCGTGTGCCACAGTACAAATTGGAGTTTAGAAGGAGTTGGTTCTCTCCTTTCGCCACGTGGCTCCCCAGGATAGAACTCGGGTCATCATGCCTGCTGGCAATCGCCTTTACCTGCTCAGCCAGCTCTTTGGTCGCCTTTTCCTCTTCCTACCATGAGATTCCTAGGGAAGTTCCAATTTGAGGAGTCCCTGGAAGAGAAATCGGGGCCCCTGTAGCAGAAGTGGGGGTCTCTTTGATACCTTTCTAAGAATGGGGGAAGGTACAAGCCTGCGGCTAGACTGATCGCCAGGCAGTAGGCGGGGGAAGAGGGTGATGAGCAGGGTGACTCCCAGGGGGGTCTGTTAGCTAGAGATTGATTCACAGTGTCTCAGCAGGTGCCTGTCGTCTGTAACTGTGAGTGCAGAGAGGCTGCTGCAAATATTGTGGCCTGGGCAGAGGCTGGATTCTAACATCACATCCTGACAGTTCTAGTCCTTGCATTTGTATTGAGAGAGAATTCACACAATACACAATTCTTTTCCGCATCTTAAAGCGCGCACTTCAGTGGATTTTCGTGTGTTTACAGTATCGTGCACCCATCACCTGTTATTTAATTCCATCACTCAAAGAGAAACCCCACACCATTAACACACTCTTCTGATCCTCCCCAACCCCAGCAACCACAAATCTACCTTCTGCCTCTGGATCTGCCTCTTCTGGACACTGCATATAAATGGAACCAGACAGCTCATGGGTTTGTGTGTCTGACTTCTTATTTAGCCAAGTGTTTTCTAGGCTTCTGCACGATGTAGCATGCCAGGACTTCACTCCTGCTCAAGGCTAATGCTACATCGTGTTTACCACACACAGCTCACCGGAATGTGGGTGGCTCTCGCTTGTCGGCTAGTGTGCATGTGACGCTCTGAGCGTGCTTTTACGTGTTTTTTATGCAGACTTAGACTCTCAGCACTCCTGGGTGGGATTGCTGGGCGCTGTGATAACTCCAGGCTCAGCGTGGGGCAGATCTGCTGAACTGTTCTTAGCTCTACCACTCAACATTCCCACCAGAACAACCTGGGGTTCCAACTCCTTCCTTGGTTGGAACCATGAAGGCATGGTTCCACGCTTCCCAGGGAAAATGGAGAGAAAGACCTGGGCAAGACCTGGGGAAACACAACTTGTGCGTTTAAAATACAGATGGCAGATGACTTCTTTCTCCTTGGCTTCCTGGACACCATGCGGCCACGTGCCCTGATTTGGCGGTACCAGCCAGAGAGTAGAGTCTTCTCCTAGACCAGGCCAGGGGTCTGTGTTATGTCCTCGGCCCTTCTCTGCAGCCAGGTAGGGCTTCTGTGAAGCCATCACATGGTACTTCGTGCCCTGAGGCCTTCATGCCTGGCCTTGAGCTAGTCAGCTGTTGTTACAGGCTCTATTAAATGGCTAGAAGTTTTGTTTAAGATTTTATCTTGATTTTCCTGTGTGTGCATGTGTCTGTATCTGTGCACACATATGTGTGTGGGTGCCCACGGGGACGAGAAGAGGGGTTTGGATCCCCTGGACCAGGAGTTATAGGCAGTTGTGAGGTGTCGGAACCAAACGCCCGTCTTCTGTAGGAGCACCAGGCTTACCAGCTGAGGCATCTCTCCAGCCTGTTTGTGCCTAACCAGTTAGTTTCCCTGACCCTGACAAGACTTCGGTCACATTTTAAGACACTTACAGGTGTCCACTGTGAATTAGCTGAGGGTCTTTTTTTTTTCATAAAAATTATATGTAATTTAATTGAAAGAATCAAACAGTTCAATCTGGTCTGTTACAAGAAATGGCAGGATCTCGTCTTCCCTCGCACCCCAGGCCCACAGGAATCTGCTTGTTCCTCTCACGGATTATTCTACTTTCTGCCTCAATCTTTATTTTTGTTTTGTTTTATTTTGAGACGGGGTCTTTAGGTAACCCAGGGTGGCCTTGAACTTGACATGTTGCCAAAGATGACTTTGCCTTCCTTTGAGCTTCTACCTCCCAGTGCTGGCTAGGATTGCAGATGTCCTCGACCACCAAGCCAGCCAGCTCCCGTATCTTTAAATAGAGGGCTTTTCTTGATTTCCAGCTTGAGGCATTATCTTTATCTTTACAGTCCCAACCCATCTCTTGCCATCCCCAGCCCCACCCAATGTAATTATATCATAATTTTACTTCAATCACTATTCATTATCCATATTACCAGTTCTCATGCTATTCCGAACTGAACCATGTAATCAGCTAAGATTGTTTCTTTCTCACACTTTCTTTCCTTGAGCTAATAATTGCCTTCATCTTTCTTGCTCGATTAGTTTTGTATAAACTTTTTTGATGACCCATCCTTGAGTTCTCTAACAGCTGCGGCGATCTCTTCTGGAGAAACTCGTTTCCATCGGGTTTCTCATATGTGATCTTGCAGGCTCTCCCAGTTTGCTCACACCTGTCCTTGTCTCCCGTTCCAGGTACACAGTTACCCGACCCCGAAGTGTCCCTGCGGTGTCCAGACTCGGGATCCCCACCCCCTCTCCTCCCGGTGGAGTCTCCTGGTTCTGGCCTTACTCCTCTTTTGTCTGCCATCCTTGTTCAGCTGCTGGAGCACATCCTGCATCTGCTTCCTGACCAGGAGGAGGTGGGAAGGGACTGCTTGCTTGCAGCCTTGCGTGTCTGAACATCTTAGGTTACTTGCCATCAACACTCCATCCAGATGCACAGTTCAGATTGCTCATGGCTCCCTTCCAGGATTTACAGTGCACTTTCCCATCTCCTTCCAGTTTTCAGGATTTTCCCAATATGTGCATGGAGTGAGAAGAGGGGACTGCGTTCTCTACCAGAAGCTAGCAGGGCCTTCTATTGAACGTGATTTTGAAATTCAGGTGCAGGGAGTTTTTCAATCAGGGCTCATCTGTTGTCCTCTTGTCCTGATCCACTCCCCTGATTTCCTTCCTATAATTTTTAGTATTTAGATTTCCATCTTTTAATGTTTGCTATGGTTTTTTTTAGGGGGGCGGGGGTTCGAGACAGGGTTTCTCTGTGTAGTTTTGGTGCCTGTCCTGGATCACTCTGTAGACCAGGCTGGCCTCGAACTCACAGAGATCCACCTGGCTCTGCTTCCCGAGTGCTGGGATTAAAGGCGGCTTAATGTTTGCCTTCCTGCCCCTCCCTGGGGAGCTAGCTGGTGGAATGGAGTTGTTGCAATTATGACAAGGAAAACGTGGTGTGGGGCAGCAAAAACCAGAAGCTGAAGATTTCTGGAAAGAAATGCATTTCAGCATGACTGTGATACTATGTTTCCATCCACACACCCACAAAACAAGCGGCTTCGTACAAGAGTAAATGTAATTTAAAAGATGTGTATTTAGCCAATTGCACACCCAGAAAAGGCCCAGCTGGCTGGGAAAGTCTGCTGAATAAAAGCAGGTCAGATAAAAGAGGGCAGGGCCATTACCCACCCTTAGGACCCCCGTGTCCTCTGTACCCCTCTGGGAATTGGAGCATCCCCCACCAGAAGCCAACCTGCTATCCGACAGCGAAGACTATTTCTCAGAAATCAGTTGCCAAGAAGAGAGAAAGTGAGTTCGCTGTGTGTCACAACTCCGACCACAGTTTTGACTGCAGCTATTTCTATTTTTGAAGCTGCTTTCCTGTAATCCTGGGCAGCTCTCTAGAGTGGCCATTCCCCTCAGAGGCCTGGGACCGCAGAGGCTCATCTGCTGGGGCCCAGGGCCTGACCCTTGAGGAGGAAGCAGCGGGTGTGGAAAGGGCCAAAAGATAGCAAAGGCCAGGGTAAGTGCCAGAGGAGGGAGGCTGCCCCGCCCCAACACTCTCCGCGCCCCCACACAGCCTTTCAGTGGGTACTGCAGACCTCAGGGAAAGTGCCCAAGTGGGAATTCTCAGTGACCCTGGCTCCTCTCTCGTTTGGGGCAGGGTCACAAGCCTGGCTGACTGTCTCCCATGGTGCATGTCCTTGCATGAAGGAAGTGCTGACTCCCCCCAGCAGCCTGGATATGTGGCGGCGGCAGGGCAGGTCACCTTCGTCTTCTGCCCCACAGATGTGGGTTTTGAGAGTTCTGTGGGTACTGGCTTTGCTTCCGACCTGCTCCCAAAAGCTAGCAGAGGGGAACCCCGAGGCAGGAACGCCCTATCATTGCTGGGGGACAGCGGGGTGGTGGTGGTGATCTTGCGGCTTCTTTTCTTCTGGCCAGAATTTAAATTCCCTCTCAGCCTTAGCTCTTGACCTACTGAAGCTATAATTTTTCATTACTTATTATACTCAATAATCTCTCATCTCTGATAAAAATGCATGACACACCTTTTTTAAAAATGTTTTTTAGTGTGGGGGGGTGTGGGGGTGTGGGGGGGCGGGTACAGGTACCTTCAGAGGCCAGGAGAGGGCGTCAGATGCTCTGGAGTTGGAGTTATAGGCAGTTGTGAGCTGCCCAACATGGGGTGTGGGGAACCTAACTTGGGTTCTCTGCAAGAGCAACAGGTGCTTTTAACTGTTGAATCATCTCTCCAGTCCCAGAAAGCAACTTTTAAAATCCATGTTTCTTTTACTTTTTCTTCAGTGCTGAGGACGGAGCTCACAGATTTGTGCTCAGGAGGTGCTCTACCACAGAGCCAAATCACCCACCACCTAGGATGCAACTTGGAAGGAAGGAAGGAAGGAAGGAAGGAAGGAAGGAAGGAAGGAAGGAAGGAAGGAAGGAAGGAAGCATTTATTCTGGCACACGGTTTCAGAGGAGGTACAGTCAATCATGGTGTGGCCGGCACAGCAGAAGGAATAGAAGACAGCTCATCACACTGTGTGCAGAATCAGAAAGTCGGTGGAGATGAGTGCTGGTGCTCTGTTAGCCCCCCCCCCTTTTTAGATTTATTTATTTATTATGTATACAGAAGAGGGTGCCAGATCTCATTACAGATGGTTGTGAACCACCATGTGGGTGCTGGGAATTGAACTCAGGACCTCTGGAAGAGCAGTCAGTGCTCTTGACCTCTGAGCCATCTCTCCAGCCCCTTTTCCCCCTTTTTTTTAATTCATCTGGGAAACTGGAGAGAGAGCTCAGCAGGCAACAGTGCTGGCTGCTCTTCCAAAGGACCAGGGTTCGATTCCCAGTACCTACATGATGACTTAAACCATCAGTGAGTCCAGTTCCAGGGGATCTAATGCCCCCTTCTGCCTCCAACAGGCACACATGATACACAGACATACATGCAGGTGAAACACTCAAACACATAAAGTATTTATGGCTGGGTATGGTGGCACATATCTTTAACCCCAGCACTCAGAAGGCAGAGACAGGCAAACTTCTGTGAGTTCAAGGCTAGCCTGGTCTACATAGCAAGTTCCCGGGCAGCCAGGGCTACAAAGTAAGACCCCCATCTCAAACCAAAAAGCCAACCCAGTACATTTGGGACTGCAGCCGGTGAGATAATGCACCCTATGCACAGTGGAAACACCATTATAACAGACCCACAGGTGTGTCTCCTAGGTGATTCCAAATCCAGCTGACAATGAAAATTAAGCATCAGGTTTATCCATTTATACTTATATGAATAGGTCCTTGCAGTTTGTTTTTTTATGACTCAAAACTCCTCGTGCTCAACCTTTTAATCTCCCAGTCTACATAAGAATTTCTTAAGCCGGGCGGTGGTGGCGCACGCCTTTAATCCCAGAACTCGGGAGGCAGAGCCAGGAGGATCTCTGTGAGTTCGAGGCCAGCCTGGGCTACCAAGTGAGTCCCAGGAAAGGCGCAAAGCTACACAGAGAAACCCTGTCTCAAAAAAAACCACAAAAAAAAAAAAAAAGAATTTCTTAAAACTGTTTAATGTAGTGTGAAGTGGATCCTTAGGATGCTTCGATCCCATGCTGCTGTTTTTAAGGATCATTATTATCCCTTCATCCCCTGCACAGAATGAAAATGGGTACAGCTACTTTTCACTTTGTTATTTTTTAGGACTTTATGACGGACAAAATGCATGAAAAATGAAGATGAATTTTCACACACATCTCAACCATGCTTCAATTATTGCCAATTTTTGGCCAATCTCAAACTGTTTATGCCTTCACCTCCCATTTTCTACACAAGCAGCCCAGCATCTCCTGCAAGATCGTGAGCCGATGTCCGTGTGGTGGCCTTCCATGGCTTCCTTATTGCTGGTGTGACCAGGCACACTGGCCTCACCCTGGAAATCTGTGACCCAGAGTAGAATCAGCAGCCAGTGTCTTTAGAGGGAAAGAGACCTGGCCTCTTGAGTTCTGGCAACTGGCTGTTTTGAGGTAATAGGCCCACCGTGGAGTTCCCAGGCTCTCTAGGCCTTTCAAGATTCTTAAATACAATAACCCTCATTTGGTCTCAACTTCATTAGAATAAAGATTCAAAACAGGATATAGAGCCTGCCAGCCAGAGCAGTCAACATTTATTTAGCCCTTTAGCCCACTGTCCCCAAGACACAGTGAGCTAAATAAAGCAATAAGGAAGGAAGGCCGGTGGTAGGTAGATGGCAACTAGTGTCGTATAAAAGAAAAGCCACAGGGTGGGGAGGCAGACACATTGCGGGCTGGTGCTATGTCTGCTTGGCACAAGCTAGAGTCATTTGGGAAGAAGAAATCTTAGCTGAGAAAATGTCGCCACTAGATTGGCCTGTGGGCAAGCCAATTTTCTTGATTGATAGCTAATGTGGGAGGGACCAGCTCGGTATGGGTGGAGCCAACCCTAGGAAAGTGGTCCTAAGTAGTGCAGGAAAGCCAACTGAGCTATCTAGGAGGAGCAAGTCAGTAAGCAGCATCCCTCCATGGCCTCTGCTCCAGGTCCTGCCTCCAGGTTCCCGCCCTGTCTTCCCTCCTTGATAGAGTGTGACCTGAGAGTTGTAAAATGAAATAAACACTTCTCCTTGATTTGTTGATGGTCATGGTGTCTTATCACAGTAATAGAAGCCCTAACAAAAACAGGTGCAGGCAGGTTTCAGGCTAACTAGAGCAGCAGGCTGCCAGGCCATGGGCTCAGCCACCTCATGGAGAAGTGACGTCAGCTTTCAATGTGTCGGTTAATGTATATGATGCATACAGATGCCTATGTGGATTGCTTGTATATTTCCTGTATTTTCAGAATATTGTATTGAGGACTTTGCAAGAGGGTGGTGAGCAGCAATTACTAGAGTAATGTACGGCCAACTTCGGTGTTTTTACAGAAAAAGAACAAGAGGGGTGGGATAGGAACTCGGGAATGTGCTGGCCTTGTAAGCAGGAGGCCCTGAGGTTACAAGTCTGTCATCTCAGCGCTGAGGAGATGGAGACGGAGGATCCCAGAGGCTTGCAGTCAGTCAGTCTAGCCGAATGAGCAAGCTCCAGGTTCAGTGAGAACCTGCTTTAAAAAAAAAACAAAAAACAGGTGGAGAGTGCAAGGAAGTCATGTGACCTCCATCTATGGCCTACATACACATACACACACAGATACACACACACGTATATACAGAGAGACACAGGCAGACATACATACACACACACACACACACACACACACACACACACACACACACACATACACGAGAAGAAAGGAAGAAAGAGCTAGGGGAAAAAATACACCAAAAACACTGCCTTTGGCTCTCTTTGGAAAGTGGGAATTGTGGTGACTTTTTCCTTGACCCTTTATTATAATTCACTAAAAATGCTAGATTTTATAACATGAGTAGGCACAGTTTTATTATCAGGAATGAAACAATATATATTACCACATTACACAGTTTAAACAATAATCTATCTGCCTTGTGCTCCCAGGCGAGCTTCGGTGCTGGGTGTCATGAAGTTGGCCTGGTGTTTGGTTTTTCAGAAGAGACTGTGTTCTTCCACGAGGGGGCGCCTGGCCTTCAAGTGAGGAGACTCAGCCTCAGGGTTGAGGGGAGTGGTCCAGTGTGAGCGGTTAAAGTCTTGCGTAGTTACTGGACACACCTAAGAACCTTACTCAGAATGCTTTGGAAGCTTTTGACATTGGAATGCCTGTCTCCTTCGTTACTAAGAATATAAAAGCCCATTTTCCCTGAAACCAGTAAAAAAGTAGACTACAGCGAGACGGGATCAGCTAGCCAGGGAGAAAGCACATGCCTGCCTTTGGGAGGTTAGTGATCTAACCGGAGAAGCCTGTCTCGCAGTGACCCTTCCCCGTGTGAGTACCCAAGAGAGGAGACGAGGGAGGAACCTGATACAGGATTACCCCAGGAGAGATGCAGAGGCCAGGGTATTGTCAAGCTTGGCCCACATAAGGCCAAAAGAGATGCCCGGGGCTCATGGCTCGACACTTGGCTCGTTAGTGTCTGTGTATGTGGGCAGAGGGCGGCTGGGTCCTCCAACTATGCAGCAACAGCTAGCTTCTTTGCAGTTGTGCAAGAAAAATGGAGTAAGACCGGACCAGAGGACAGGGGGGGTGGGGGGGATGTCCAAGCTTCTACCAACACCAAGATGCCATGGGAAGATAGGGAGGAGCCACCCAGCCCAGAGTGTCAGGGAGGACTTCCTGAGGGAGGTGGCCATTGAGCTTGTGAAAAAGGGCCAAAGGGGCACCTGAGAGGAGAGAAGCTCAGGCAGAGGGCACGGACACACACACACACACACACACACACACACACACGGTCCTAGAAAAAACATGGGATCTATCTATGTGTGGAGGGAGCCAGGGCGTGCAGACAGTGCTGAAGATATTGTATCTGAAGGGCCTTATGGAGCCCTGAGGGATTTCTACAGTGACGTGCCCACCGACCATGGGGATAGACATTCAATAAGGTCACCATTGTGGTCTTCATGTAGTCAAGTGTGGTTCTGCTTAGTTTTTTCTCAACATAACATGCGCTAGGGCAAGTTGAGAAAATGCCTCCATCAAATCGGCCTGTAGGCAAATCGATGGGGCAATTCCTTGATGAATGGAACTCTAAGGCACACCCCCAGCCTGTGCCTCCTCTGGTCCCTGCACGTAGCTGCCCTGTGTGGCTACCCGGATCCCCTTTCAGCATTCCCACGGCTTTGGATGCTTCTGTCCTACTTAGCAGTGACGATGACGACGAGAATGGGGTGCTGCAGGGACAAGCAGAGGCCCACATCTCCTGGGTGTTGAGGCCAGGGGAGACATGTTCAGACCGTATCATGAGCAACCGTGGGAGGATCAGAACATATTGTTCGTGGATAAGCAGAGGCATGAACTGGAGGGCTAAGAGCTGCTGACAGGATAATGTCCTGGATCTGAGTGAGGTTCGGAACTCACTGTTCTCAAAGGGCCGAGGGATACACTCTAAAATAAGGTCAAGTCCAAGGTCTGAGAACACGATGAATTCAGGGAGAGGCAGGAAACACAGATAGGCCCAGTGGGTCAAGGGAGACTCCAAAGTCTGGAGAGTCACCGGAGGTAAGAATCCAGGCCAGAGAACCGGGTGTGGCTTCTGGCCCGGCTTGGCTCCCGAAGCTATGTGGGCATCAAATGTCCAAGGATGTGCTCCCAGCTTCGCAGGCAGAGAATCGGGAGTGTGTGCAGGCCATGTTCGGACCTCACCACCACATGAGCAACGACAGCAGCAAAGTCTCAGTCCCTGCCCCAGCTCCCTGCCTCCAAACCACATCCCAAGAGGACCAAGAATGTCTCAAGGCTACAACATGCAGACCACTGATAAAACAAATAGCCTTCATGTCTTATCAGGAGTAAAGTCATAGGCCAAAACATCAAAATATTACGTTTAGGTATTTACAATGGGTAGGGACAGCTAGATTATTTAGTAAGCGTTGTTAGAATAATCGGCTACCCCCCTCAGAAACAAACCAAGTCAGGAGTCTATCTTAGCATCACACACACACACACACACACACACACACACACACACCACACACACACAAATTACCCCACTCACAATTAGTTTCAAAACATCCCACAAAAAGCTGGGCCCAGGCTGCTGAGATGGCTCAGAGGTTAAAGGCTGCTCCCAAGCCTGAAGACCTGAGTTCAGTACCCCAAAAACCACATGGTGGAAGGGCAACATCAACTCCCCAAAGTTGTCCTCTGATTTCCACATACATGCTATAGCATGCACACAGCCTAAATTAAAAAAAAATAATAAGCATACGATTTTTTTAAAGCTAAGTCTAGATGGTCTTACTAGGGAATTCCAATAAATGTTCAAACAACTAATAACAGTCCTTCACAAACTTCCAAAAGCATAAGGGCTATTTCCCAGTTCATTCTAGGGGAAGATGCCCTACTCAGGGTGGGATATTTGCAAATCATACATTTAATAAGGGAGTTGTTATTAGAATATGAATTTTTAAGCATAATAATAAAAAGGCAGTCCAATTGAGGAGCAAAGGAGCTAGAGAGACCATTCCCCAAAGATTATATACAAATGGCTGATTAGCACGGATGTTCTCACCTTCATTAGTTACCGGGAAAGTAGAAATCAAAGCCATGATGAACTGCTGTTGTGGATCCAGTCGAGTGGCTGTAGTTGGAAAGACTTGTAAGTGCTGGAAAGAATGTGGGAGATAGTGGAACCCTTGTTCCAGTGTAGTCTATGTTCAAAAAGAGTGTAGCATTTCCTAAAATGTTGTTATCACAGGATATGCTTAAGTACATACACAAGAGAATTGAGCACACGCTTCTAACAGAAATCCTACACCGATATATGTAGCGTCATCAATGATAGCCAGAAAATATAAGTAATGAACAGGCAAACAAGCCATAATGTCCACACAATGGAGTGTTACTTGAGGTGGGGGAGAAATGAAGCAGTGATAGAAGGGGTAACATGTAAAGAACTGCAACCTTGTGTTGTACATGAGTGTAGACCATGAAACTAGAAAGGGGATATCTTAGGGAGGGATCGAGAGAGTAATGGAGTACAGGTGATAAGAAACCAGGGTATCTGGAAGGAAGAGGAAGAGGGAAGCAGCCAGAGTGGCCAGGTGTGGTGGTTTGAATAAGAATGGCCCCTAGTGCCTCATCTATTTGAATGGCTGGTCACCAGGAGGTGGCACTATTTGAAAGGGATTGGGAGGTGTGGCCTCATTGAGGTAGGTGTGGCCTTGTTGGAGGATATGTGTCACTGGGGGTGGGCTTTGAGATTTCAAGAGCCCAAGCCAGTCCCAGAGGTGCTCTCTCTTCTTGTTGCTTGTGGATCCGGGTGTAGAACTCTCAGCTCCTTCTCCAGCACCATGTCTGCCTCCATGCTGCCATGCTTCCTGCCAGGCTGATAATGCTCTGAACCTGTAAGGCAGCCCCAGCTAAATGCTTTCTTTTCTAAGAGTTGCCATGGTCATGTTGTTTCTTCCCAATAATGGGACAGTGACTAAGACAACAGGAAACAGGGGGAAGGGCATGGATTATGAGAAAGTATGATTCTTAGCATGGAAATACCAGGAAGCCCATTTCTTTGTATTCTAACCAAGAAAGTTTAATGACATTTATTTATTTTATCATATCTTACTTCTGTGTGTGTGTGTGTGAATGAGAGAGAGAGAGAGAGAGAGAGAGAGAGAGAGAGAGAGAGAGAGAGAGAGAGAGAATGAGAGGAGAGAGAGGGAAGGGAGAAAGAGTGTGTGTGTTTGTGTGTGTGTGTGTGTGTGTGTATAGGCACACACATGCTAGGGTGACTGTGTGGAGGTCAGAGGACAACTCACAGGAGTCAATTCTCTCCTTCCACCATCCTTGGGTACTGAACTCAAATCGTCAGGCTTGGCAGTAAGTGCCTGTGCCCACTGAGCCATCCCCAACCAAAAAATTATATATTTAAAGAAAGAATAACCTCAATGAACCTTGAAAACATTCAGCTAACTAAAAGTCACTCACAAAGACCAAGTGTTTTGTGAATCCATTGAGATATAATGAACCCATCTACAGAGAGAGGAAGTACGCTCATGGTTGCCAGGGTATTTCAGGGATGCATCCTGAAGAGTGACTGTAAGTGTCCTGAAATGAGAATTCGGTGATAGCTGCAAACCCCGTTAATGTAGTTCAAAAGGATTTCACTTCTAAAGGGCTGCCCTGATGCCAGATTTGAGGGTGCACACCTGGAATCCCAGCACTAAGGAGGTAGAAGCAAGAAGTTCAGAAGTTCAAGGTCATCCTCCTGTGTACATAGCAAGCCTAGGATGTATAAAATCCTGTTCAAATAAACAAATAGATAGATAGATAGATAGATAGATAGATAGATAGATAGATAGATAGATAGATAGATAGATAGATAGATGATAGATAGATAAATAAACCAACTGAAAAATATCAAAAGTACCACCGAAGTAGGTAGCCTGGAATCTTAATTTCACTACCACCAGAACTTGGACAGGTTACTTAATTACTGAAATTCTCTAGTTTTGCATCACAGATGGAACTTATTGCCTACCTGGTGTACTTAACTTCTTAGGGAAAAGTGAAACACATCAAGTTTCTAATATTGAAATGCACCCTAAAGTCAAGGGACTGTGACTGAAACTGATATTCATTGTCCTGATGAGCCCAACAGAGATAACTTAGTGACATCCATGCCTGGAGGACCCCAGTGTGCCCAGCTGGAGAACAGCTAAACATGCAATGGAAAGAGCACTCGGGAGCCTGAGTCGAGGAGGACCACAAGTTCGAGGTCAACCTGGGCACGTAGGAGACAGGAGAAGCCAAGCTGCATCACACACTGTTGTATGTTACAGGCACATTTGGTGACAGTCAGCCACAAACCATCCTCCTGCCTTGCTCTCCCCATCAAAAGCCAACTCCCAGGGCATGGTTTCTTGAAAACATCAACTGCCTCCTGGCCATGGCAAGGTGGACCTTCCCTTCTACCCTCCCACCCTGCTCCCCCTCCCCCAAGAAAAAGACAGAAGGATGGATAGACAGCAAGATTCTAACAGCTGGAAGGATTGTATCTGTGGAGCTATGGAGAGCCCCTGCTGCTGGCTGTCCGCATCAGGAAACCTTTAGCTGAAAAGAGACAAGCAGAAGTGAGAATCAGCAGCTGGTGCCCCTTCCCCAGCCTGGTTCTGATTCTGCCTGTGACTGGATTGAAGGATCCTACGCGTCATCTTTAATCATGAGAAATGTCCCCTTTTAGAAAGACTAGCCTAGGTGGTCTGTTGCCAAGGGCCCTTGGCTGACCGTGTGATCTGGGCCTTGGCTCATGTGATAAGGAGATGGTGCACAGGGACAGTACGAGACACTTGGATACAAACTGTACTGCGCCGTCTTAACTAGGTCACGACATATTGTGCAACCCTAACAGGTACAGTCAGTCATCCCCTAGGAGCTGGGAAAACTGTGGAGCAGCTGAGTCAAGAACAACGAAAATGCTAACCTGAGCTGCACCCACATTTGAAAATGCAATTAAGGTTAATAAACCAGTCAGAGCAGGCTTACGTTTTCCCAGAATTTCTAACTGCTTCTGGGACTGCAACTCAGAGCACATCTAAATAGCCCCAAAGCCTCTGGGCACCCACAAATTATAGAAAATTGACAACTATGACTCCTATAAGATGTCCCTCCAACAAGCAAACCCCAGAACCGCCAATAAAGCATCGCTGACTGAGAAGGAATATGAGAATCTCCTTCATGCCTTCCTCCAGCTAGCAGATACCAAGAGTTCCTGTGCCTGGCATGGTTAGGTGGTGAAGAGACGTAAACAAAGCCCTGCGTCAAGGGGCTCATTCTCTAACTAGAAGGGTAGACGGTCTGTAACTGTGTAGTATCAGGGGCTGCAGGCTGGAAAGGGAAATCAAGCAGGGCAGGACACAGGGGGACATGAGGAGTGCTGTTGTACACACACTGGCAGGCACAGCTGCAATAAGAACAGACTTATTTTAAATTAAAATGCAACTGCATCACTTCCCCTTCCCTTCCCTCCCTCCAACCCTCTCATGCCCCCCCCTTTCAAAATCATGGCTTCTTTTTCCTAAATAAATATTTATCTTTATATATAACATATAACTATATAAAGTATATGTAAATACATAAATGTAGTTTGTATACTTATATTGCATGTTTAATTTTTATATATTTATGTGTATACATAAATATAGTATGTATGTGTTTTTATTATATAACATATCATGGAAATATATTACATAATCAAAACACATACATATACAAATACACCCTGCTCAGACTGTTTCGTGTTGCTTGTATGTATATGTCTGCAGGGCTGACCACTTAATATTGGATAACCAATTAGGAGACTCATCCCTGGGGAGGACTAAATTCTCCCTCTCTCAGAAGTCTTTAGTTGCCTGTAGCTCCTTGTCTAGAGCTGGGGCCCCATGAGAGTCTGCCTTCCAAGCAAGTTAGTATACATATTGGCATTGTCCTTGTTCAGGTCTTGTTTAGGCAGCCATATTGTTGATAGAGCATGGGTGCGGCTTCCTTGTCATGTTTAGGAGACACAATCTCATGACGGACTTTGGCATTCCCCTGGTTCTGAATATCTTTCCACCCTCTCCTTCATGATGTTTCTTGGGCCCGAGGTCCAGGACTTGTTTTGCAGATGTAGTTGTTGGGACTGGGCAGCCCATGAGCAGGTCTCTGCACGTTGACCAGTTGTGTTTTCCTGCAATGGTCTCTGTCTGCTACAAAGGGATGATTCGTTGATGAGGGTGAGAGCTATGCTTGTCTGTGGGTGTAAGGACGACGGGTATTTAGAATGCAGATAGGACGTGTGCTGGTCTCGTGAAGTGGTGACTGAAAGTTCTCCTCTGAGATCCATGACCTCCCTAGCCCCAGGTAGCTAGCTAGCCTTTGAGTAGCAGGCATGCTTTCCCTCCTGTTGAGTGAGCCTTAAGTCCAAATAGAGGGCTATTGGTTTTCACCAAGATATGAGTGCCACTCGGCACTGATATAGTCACATATCAGGCTGGTCACTGACGGGGTCCATTGGTGTCACAAACTGGGTAGGATTATTGGCTGCTTGGCAGGTGGCATAACATCTTGTGGTACTGTGAGAGCTGGTCCTCAGGGAGGAGGCTTTCCAGTCAGATCCAGCTTGAATCCTCCAAGTCCTGTGTCTCAAGTACACGATGTCTTCAACAATAGGGACTCACCTTCAACTTCTGGGAGGCAACCAAAGGCAAGAGCAATAACCCATATTGTTTTGGGAGTCTCTTGGACATACCTAGCCAACAACTTGAAAGGGAGTCTTTCATGCTGGGTGCTGAGATTTTTACTAAATAGCCTCTGCCTCTTGTGGGGAGCATTGTCAGCCTAAGTGGCCTAACTTCATTTAAAACATATATATTTGTGTGTGTGTACATATCCATATGTATTATGTGTAACTTTTTTTTTGAGACAGAGTTTCTTTGTGTAGCTTTGCGCCTTTCCTGGAACTTACTCTGTAGCCTACCCAGGTGGGTCTCAAACTCACAGAGATCCCCCTGCCTCTGCCTCCCAAGTGCTGGGATTAAAGGCATGCGCCACCACCGCCTGGCTTATATGTAACATTTTAAGTAAGTAAATATGATTCCTTATGATTTTTCTTTTTCTTTTTTTTTTTAAGGTTTATTTATTTATTATGTATACAGTGTTCTGTCTGCACATATCCCTGCAGGCCAGGAGAGGGCACCAGATGTCATTACAGATGGTTGTGAGCCACCATGTGGTTGCTGGGAATTAAACTCAGGACCACTGGAAGAACAGCCAGTGCTCTTAACCGCTGAGCCATCTCTGCAGCCCTCCTTATGGGTTTTTCAAACATCCTTAGTGTTATTCTTCCCTTCTCCATCCCACTTGTATATTGGTCCCCCACCACCATTTTACCGTCTCCCCCTCATATCACTGTATCCTGCTAGTCCCCCCTCTAGCATTCTTCCCCCAACTCCATTGTCCCTTTCTTCTTTCCCGGATTCTGCAGTTACTCCAGGCTGTATGCTCCCATCTGAGGATTTGGAGCTAGGAACCACAGATGAGAGAGAACGTGCACCATGTTTCTCTCGCGTCTGGGTGTCCTCCCCCGAGACAATCTTCTCTAGTTCTGTTCACGGACCTGCAAATGTCATGATTTCATATTCTTTATAACTGCAGAGTTTTCCACCGTGGATATGTCCCCAATCTTCATTAGCCGTCAGTCGAAGGACATTTAGATTCTTTCCATTTCCTAACAATTGCAAACAGGGTGGCTGTGAACACGGCTGAGCAAGTATCTATGGAGTAGGGTGTCGAGTCCTCTGGTCACATGCTAAGGAGTGAGTGGTATAGCTGGGTCATATGGTAAGTTTATTTTTAGTTTTTTGAGCACTTTCCAGAGTGGCTGCAATCAGTTTGCAGGTCCACCAACAGTGAATGAGGGTCTTCCCTTCCTCCCCGTCCTCTCCAGCATCTGCTGTCAGTTCTTCTGTTGATCTTAGCCGTTCTGACTGCGATGAGACAGAACGTCAAAGCCTCGCTGATGTGTATTGTTCTATTTGCTAACAATAATGAACTTCTATTTGCTAATGATAATGAACTTTTTTTTTTTTGAGATTTGTAGCCATTTTTATTTCTTCTTTTGAGAACTCTGCTCAGCTCAATAGTTTGTTTTTTGAATGGGCAGTTTGTTTTCTTGACTCTGTTTTTTGAGTTTTTTGTAGTCTGGACTTCTGCCCTCTGTCAGAGCCCCAGTGTGGACTTGCTCTGCTCTTTGGGCTTCCACTTTAATCGGCTGATTGCTTCCTTAGCTATGCAGAGACTTCTAAGTTCTCTGAGGTCGCATTTGTCAATTGTTGGACTGATTTCCTGGAGACCTAGTCAGAAAGCCCTTTCCCACATCCATATCTTGTAGCCTATATTTTCTTCTAACACAGTGGTTCTCAACTTTCCTAATGCAGTTCATGTTATGGTGACCCCCAACCGTAAAATTATTTCATTGCTACTTCCTAACTGTAATTCTGATACTGCTATGAATCATAAACGCCTGACATGCAGGATATCTGATATGTGATCCCAAAGGGGTCTCAGCCCACAGGTTAAGAAGCATTGTTTGTGTTTTAGGTTTTACATTAAGATCTTTGATCCATCAGGAATTAATTTTTATGCAGCGAGATAGATACAGGTCTAATTTTATTCTGAAACATGTGGGCATCTAGTTTTCCCAGGATCATTTGTTCAAGATTCTGTCTTTTGGGATATCATTGTGAAATATCAGATGGCTATATTTATGTATGTGTACTCACACTGGAACTATTTTGTTCTGTTGGTCTACACATCCATTTTTGTGCCAGTATCATACTATTTTTATTACTATGGCTCTATAATATATCTTGAAATTTGCAATGGTAATCCCTCAGCTTTTTTCCCCCCTCAGGATTGCTTTGGCTTATCCAGGCTCTTTTATGGTTCCAAATGAATTTTAGGATAGTTTTTCTATTTCTATGAAGAACGAGATGGTGATTTTGATTGGGTTTGCATTGCTTCTGTAAAAAGCTTTTGGTTGTAGGGTCATTTTCACAATATTAATTCTGCCGGTCCATAAGCATGGGATCATATCATTTGTGTGCTGCCTAGTTTTATGTCTACTTGACTGAGAAGTCATCTGAGAAGAGGGAGCCTCAACTGAGAAAAATGCATACATAAGATCCGGCTGGCACACCTTTAATCCAGCACCTGGGAAGCAGAGCCAGGCAGATCTCTGTGAGTTCGAGGCCAGCCTGGTCTACAGAGCGAGATCCAGGAAAGGCGACAAAACTACATGGAGAAACCCTGTCTCGGAAAACAAAACAAAACAAAACAAAACAATCCGGCTGTAGGCAAGCCGGTGAAGAATTTTCTTAATTAGTGATTGATGGGGGAGGGCCCAGCCCATTGTGGGGTGGTGCCATCCTGGGCAAGTGGTCCTGGGTTTTTATAAGAAAGCAAGCTGAGTCGTCCACAAGGAGCAAGCTAGTAAGCAGCACCCCTCCATGGCCTCTGCATCGGCTCCTGCCTCCAGGTTCTTGTTCAGGTTGAGTTCCTGCCCTGGCTTCCCT